ATTGATGAACATGTTTTAGAGGAATAAAATCACTAGGCCTTTTTTGTAATGTTACCCTTTATGGATATTCGTGTTCATTCCCGTAATGGATTTTTGTTATCTTGCCCATCGTGGTCTATGTAACTTTTGCCCTTTTAGGCCTTATTAATACAATATTTTGCACCCTAGGAAAATTTACTTATATATATGTTAAGTTTTTTTCTTGATGTGTGTTACCCAAGAGAGCCTTTAGGTCGACCGAGTCCTTTAAAAAAAGGACTTAGTAAGAATTCCTTGCTCAACGCTTACTGTACAACATCCTTCAAGAGTGACCAAAATTTTCTTTTGAAAACCGTCATAAACTACCACTTGGATGGGCAAAATACTTTATTTATATTCGAGTATTCAATAGCCTCTTGGTGGACAAGGATACTTCATTGAAATTCCAGCATTCAATAGTCTTGTGGGCAGTAAGGATACTTCATTGAAGTTCCAACATTCAATAACCTTGTAGGCGGAAAGGATGGTTGACTAAAGTTTCAACATTCATATTACCACTTGGGCGGAAAGAATGCCTCATTTAGGATCCAACATTCAATAGTCTAGTGGGAGGCAAGGATACTTCATTGAAGTTACAACATTCAATATCCTCATGGGCAACAAGAATACTTCATTGAGTTCTAACATTCAATAGTCTTGTGGGCGGCAAAGTTACTTAATTGAAGTTCTATCATTCAATAGCCTCGTGGGTGGCATGGATACTTCATTGAAGTTCCAGCATTCATATTGTCATTTGATCAGAAAGGATACCTCACTGAGGGTCCAACATTCCATTCTCATATATCCTATAAAACTCAAGAAAGGTGTATGCAAATTTATAAGAAATAAAGTAAGGCGCCTCATTAAAATCCTCTTCCCACACTGTGGAAAGATTGCTACCCTATTATTACAATATCCTTAAAGAAATATACAACTGGAAGTGATGACACCTCACCTTAATAAACTTAAACGATAACATAATTAACGAAAAATGCAACATTAAATTTATCATGCTCGTTGTGTTTGCCTCGGCACCCTAATAAGTGTTACAAATACATAAAATACGTAAGCATTTATTTTGAAGATACATCTCCGAAATTACCCTTTACGCATACGGAGATACATCTCTGAAGTTAATTTTAAAAAAATAGGGATCTCAACAATTTCATCTGAGATGTGTGTGAAAATGCGTGTTCGCAGATGTATCTTCGGACTTACTTTTAGCAAAATAGGGATTTTTAGCAATTTTATCTAAGACGTGTTCGAAGATGTATCTCTAAATGTCATGAACAGTTGTGATTTTGTACGATAACGAGAAGTGCATGTAAGGGTTAAAAAAGTAACCCTCATAAACAATTCATATCTCAATTGTGTTTCAAGTTGCTTAAAGAACCTAATTTAGATTTCAAATATTCCACTTTTAATGGCTTTTCTCCTCTCTCAAGAATGATTCTTACATGGAGATGATTCTTATGAGTACAAATCTACCATATATGTTTCCTCTGGTATGTGAATTGAGACCTCATCTCTCTTGATGCAAGGCCTTCAAAGTTGTGATGGCTTAACCTCGTACCCTTTTGAGCAGATTGTACAACAAAGGTTTTCGTTGGCTTGAACGAAAGGATATAAAGTTGCGATCACCACTACGGTAACGATAATCTCTATTATTCTTGGAGTAGCAAGAGTTTATCATGGCATAGGAATGGTCCATGAAGTGGTTGAAATGTCTTAGGCGAGAAAAAGAAATTCTAGAAACTCATACAACCACGAATGAGAACATGTACATAGAGGAGCGACAACGACACGTGGCACACCCAACTTGATCAACCCCACACATGCAGCCAAACATCCACAATGTGGCTAGCTTGATCTCTCCTACACACAACGCAAATGAAAAATCAACAAAGAACATGTATGCCAAGGATGAAAGCATTGAACACACCCAAATTGCTTTCACACAAAGAAAGCGAGGATCAAAACCAGAGCATTGATGTGGCTAATTGGTGAAAACTTAGTTAACGCAGTGATAGGAAAAAAGCAGAATTTTTATACACAAATAACACAGTACACAAACATCCACATCACATCACTTCTTTAAAGCTCAAGCAGGATATATTACAGCCCGGCAACAGACGTGAAAACTCAATAAATGACGCAACTCATGCAAGGGGAGGAAACTTTAGCCAAGCATGTTTTCCAAAGCTCCTCTCTTAGTTTTATTTGTTGAGAATCAAAATCCTCAGTATGTTAAGAGAGGAGGAAATTAGACTATTCATTTTTTCCATGTCTAACTGTCATTAATTATATAGTTTTGAGAAGACATGATTTTTTTTCTTTCAGAAAGTGAATATACATGGGTAGTCATTTTACCTATATTGAGAATAAAACATGAGAAGTAATCATCAAACTTTGATAAACAATTTTGAGAGTATTCATTATTTTTCATATCTAAATTAGTAGAATATATTTGCCGAGGGGCACATAGAGTGTTACACGTTCTTTTTTCTGACGATTGTTTTTTATTTTGCAGGACTAATCTTAGCGAAATAAAATATCTTATGAAACTGATTAATACTTATGTAGAAGCTTCAGGGCATGAGATTAATATGACTAAATCTAAAATATGTTTTACCCGTAACATAAGTAATTCGACAAAAGAGAATCTTGCTAGTATTATGAGAGTTCGTCATGTGATGGGAACCGAAAAGTATTTAGGTTTGCCCTTAATGATTGGAGGAGTAAGAAGGCTACTTTCTCTTTTATCAAGGATCATATCTGAAAGAGAATAAATTTATGGAGAGGTTGGTCGTTATCAAAAGCAGGGGAAAAAGTCATGATAAAATCGGTCCTTCAAGCAATTTCATTTTATATTATGAATATTAATATCCTCCCATATGCAGTGTGTAACGATATTGAGAAGATATTAAACTCTTTCTGGTGGGGAGGAGGTAGTAATAACAGTGGAATTTATTGGATGTCATGGGAGAAGCTTGTTTGTTTTAAGAATGAAGGTGGATTGAGATTTAAAGACTTTAAAGCCTTTAACATGTCTATGGTAGCTAAACAAGGTTGGAACCTACTGACAAAATCTCATGCTCTTGTATCTAGAATCTTCAAAGTTAGGTACTACCCTAGAGCTTCTTTCTTTGATGCTAATCTTGGATATTATCCAAGCTTTTATGTGGTGGAGCATTTGGAAGGCAAGGGAAGTTTTGTCTTTAGGTTGTAGGTGGAGTATTAGGAATGAGAGTCACATCATGGCAATGGATGAACCTTGGATTCGGGGGATTAGAGATGGTTATTTAAGGGGTCCCCAAAAGCAAGGTGTATATGGTATTATTGTTAAAAATCTTATGTTGCATAATGTAAAACAATGGAATATGAGGGTTATAAGATAGTTATTTAACTATGCAGATGCTGAAGATATATTACAGGTAACTTTGATGGAGGATGTTAAGGAAGATAGAATGGTTTGGAAAGAAGAACAAAATGGTATTTATAGTATACGTTCTGGGTACAGATTGTGGGGAAGTTGAGTAGAAGTCATGTTAATAGGGGAGGGGAGGAGAATTTGTGTAGTCTCTTGAATATTAAAGCTCAACCTATAGTCAAACATCTTCTGTGGAGAATTTGTAGAGAATATTTACCAACTCGTGATAGACTCCGACAACATTATGTCTCTTGTCCGTCAATTTTTCAACTTTGTAAGAATAATCTTGAAGATGGCTGGCATTTGTTCTTTGGACGTAGCGAGATTTCTAGTGTTAGAACGCAGCAGGTTTTTCCACTCTTATAAACCCTTGTTTACATTCTTTTCATGATGCTAAGTCCCTTATCTTTGATATATGTAGTAAGAAGGATAAGAAGGATGCTGAAAGATTTGCAGTTATGATAAATGAAATATGAAAGAATATGAATGAACCTATTTGACATAATGAGGTAGAGAAAGCCCCTAAACTTGATTGGTTAGCATTTCATAAGCGGGAGGATTGCTTTATGGCTCAACATCTACACAATATCGAAAATGGCCAACAATATCCTACGAGTTGGGATCCACCATTTGTAGGGTGGTTGAAGTGCAACATGGATGCGGCTATTAACAAACATCAAGAAGGTTTGTGTGTTCATGATAATCTCATAAATTTCATTATTGCAGATGTGGTTTGGGACCCCAGATACCCCCTCTGTCATTAAGGCTAAAGTTTTGACCCTTAAAGAGACAATTTAGGTAACTATTAACTTTCATCTAAATTAGATGTCTTTGAAAGTTACTCCTAAAGACTAGTTCAGACTATCCACTCTAATCATTATGGTTGTTCGAAATTCCATTATGGTGGTTCAAAGTTCCATTTCATTATTAGATTTATTAGAAGATTGTTGCATGTTTACTCCAACTTTGAGTTGAAGTTTATAAAGCGTCAAGCAGAATTCGATTGTCCACTCTGTTGCTAGGGCAGCCAATTCTTAGTTTAGGCATAGTGTGTTTAATTTAATTCCACCTTATATTAAATAATATTTGATTAATGAATTGCAGTGAGTTTGCTTTGGTCAAAAAAAAATTAGTAGAATATATTTAAAGAGTTTAGAAATAAAAAGAAAGTAGATAATGTTATCACACTAAGTCTCTTGGATAATTTAATCTAAGGCCTCAAACTTTATAAACATGCTCAAACAGTGGCACACATTTATCAAAATTTCTAGACATTTCCCTCCTCAAAATCCCTTACCAAATCGAGGTCTTAAGTTGCGTGAAACATGACATGACACTATTTAAATTTAAATACTGATATTCTTACTCATTAGAGATTGTATCTCCGTTCTGTCAGCAAACGACACCTCAAATCAACTTTTGTTTTGCACTTTTCTGTAACCGAAAAATGACACTATTTGTTTTGAAATGGATCAAGTCAATACGTTTTCAAAATTCAATTTGGCTGCCCTTTTTTCCAAATAGAGTTCAATACTGGGCACACAGCTATGAATCATAGAAATTGAAAAGGCTTGCGCAAGCAAAGCTGCTCAACCATCCCTTCTTCGATTTTTGATTTTATGGGTGAAACTTTGATTTCATACAACTTGGGCCACAGTTTTCCAGTCACTGCAAGCATGAACATAAGTCACATAAACTTCATGGGGAAAAATCCTGCATTTATTCTCCAATTTCAAATATTTGTAGAACAAATTGTGAAAAACAAAAAAGAAAAATGTCTTCACCATAAAGAAATCTTAAAAAACAGGATGAAAACAAGAAGCAATTATGCAAATGAAAAATGAAATAAATAGAAAATGTTTTTTCACAAACCAAAAAGGCTTTGGATTCAGAAGATATTTTATGAAACTTTTTACTTGCAAACTACTGTATGTTTTAACTTTTTCTGTGTCCTCAAAGTTTTGTATAAAATTATTTGAAAAACAACTTTTGGCTGTATTTATTGTTTTCTATGCACAACTTTGAAAACAGAAAACAGAACATTTTTACAAATAAAACAGTAAGTGAAACGTGACCATAACATTCGTTCATTGATGCTTACTGACAAAACTGCTTAAAGAAGAAGAATACAAGATTTTACCAACTGCTAGATCATGCGTTGAACCTTTATTCTTATGCATACCAGTTTAAAATTGTCAAGTGAAACACCAAAAGTCTAACTAGATTCTTGAGTCAGGTCACATCCATTTGACCCTTGTTTTCATCAAATGTCTATGCCATGCTTAATAATTATGATTAAAATAAAGAATCAAGTCTCAAATGGATGGAATGAAAATGATATGCTTAAATAAATATGGTCAAATCAAAAATTTATAATAATTAAAAATAAAACTGGAGCCTACCAAAAATCCGTTCCTGCTCAGCATCCCATGCTATCCCATTCAAAACATCAATAGCCTAAAATATAAGAGAACAACGCGTAAGCAGAAAATTTTTAGCAACAGCTACCTCTAATAACAATTTAAATACAGAGTAATAGGAAAAAAAATTATTATCTGTAGATGTAACAAAAGGTTCAGGTTCCTTACATTATTTCCAGCTTCAATTAATTCTTTCCTGCATATGATAGATTAAACAAAACTTTAGCAACAAATGTACAAAGATACTTATTAGTTGCTAGAGTAAATCCCCACTCAATTCCTCAAGATTATCAACATGGCTATCCACTGAATGATAATTTTTTGGCATCAAAAAGTGTTTACTAGGACCAGCTTAATGCCTTACAATGATTGAAAAGCATTGAGGACCAATTTGATGTTGCTAATCTGCTGAAGAACCAAATTAGGGATTCACTTTGTTGTGTGAAACCAAACATATAAGAATTAAGATGATATCTTTTATAAGAAAAGGAAACATGAGCCACACCTTAAATTTGGGAGGAGAATCCACCCAACAACACCACCATCTTTAGGAGAGATTTTTGCAATACAGTCAGTCTACACAACGAAAAATCAGTCTCAAATAATACCCAGTTTAACAGAGAGCCTTAGGCCACAGGCCTCATGCATACATGTCAAACGTTTGTCTATGTTTTTCACAATTTTAGGGAAGGAAATATATTTTCTCTAACTACAACAATCATAGTTGATCATGAAAACCCGTACCGTAAAAACATTTGCCCAAACTTCACCATTTATATATTCCAGTTCATTGAGATTGTGTACTTGATGACCCTTATAGAAGACAACTTGTTTGGATATGGCTACAATGGAAAGGAAAGTGTAAATTCCAGAATATGCAAAGCAAGAAAAGGTCTGAGAATAGGGTTTCGCTAATAAAATGGTAAAAGGAAACAAATAAAATTTGATTTGAGACTAACCTTTAAATGTTTGAGGGTCAATTTGGTACAATGTTGAACTTCCGTCACTTCCAAACAAGACTTTTCCATCAGTTGCAAGACCCCAGCCATCTTTCATATCATGATTAAATGTCCCAAGCTACAGAAATTGTAAAAGTAAGTCGTTAAGACCTAGCTTGCAATATTAAAAGGAGTTTTGAAGCATTCGCCTTAGTACTGAAGAGAATCTTGGAAAAAATAACCAAACAACTAGCGTAAATTCAGACCCATCCAGCTTGTATAAATATTCAATTTGTTTTAGTGAATTCAACATTACAAATATACTTTCGGCCATGGAAATTTGTTAATCAGATATAGTAGCTAGTTGAAGTCCGTTATACTACTAGTCAATCAACTTTCAATTTCTAGCTTGATGTTAAAAACTTTCAAATCGAAGCTGCCAAAAAAGCAAATAGTTAAAGAAACTAAAAAAAGAAAAAAAAAATTAACAGCATGATACAATCATGCAGAATAGTAAAAACATACTGCATATAAACAATAATCACAATGCGGTTACTTTTCTTAGTAGAGTCCCACTGAACCAAAACATTAGGAGTCTCTCAAACCAAAGACAAAATATTACATGAGTAGGTAGGTAAAGCAACAAACTTTGCTTAAATTTTTGAGGTCATATATGAAACCATTTGTCTGCATCCATGTTACTTGGATCAGCCTACAAAAGTGCACCAGATAATATATTAGAATAAACTAAAAGATGAACCATAATAGTTAAAAATAACTAGATTATTAATCACTAATAGCACAGTTCAATTGTCTAAGCCAAAAGCACATTATATTGTGATCAAAGTGAAGTAAACAACCCTGAAAGCACCCAGAAGCAATTAAATCAGAATATTGCAACAAAATTCAGGGTCACTCTCCTGTTTTCATTAGCAATCAAAATTGGTAAATATTTACCATTTTAGTAGAGCAGTACTGTTTACTTTTATAGTTAATAGAAACTAAAATACAAAATGAAAACAATGTTAACATAGAAAAATATACTTGAAGTTGCTTGAGCACTCTTGTTTAAGATGGTATCATACCATACCAAGATCCGTAGGGCCATCCATAATTGGACCCCATTGAATGTAATGTAATATGCTCTAAAAAAGGGTTTATAATTGATAGACAGCTCTCACTTTACAAACCTGTTTTCGCGAGTTGAATTAGGCTCCCAGCCCAAACTCTAAGAGTTAATTACTAATTATTATATTTACATACCAAACATTAAGAAAGCAGATCATAGGCCATTCAAACAAGAATAAAATGCAGCATAGCCCGCAGCCTCTTTCTCCTGAAAAGCTCAATTCTAATGGGCTTGGCATCAGCTTTTGGTTTTAGTAGCTAGCGAACGAGAAACTAACATTTGGCATTTAACTTCAACATCAAGTATTTTATGGCTTCAAAATTTTAAAGTTTCAAGTGGTTTGACAGTATTATGTTTTATTGATGTATTAGAAGCTATTAATTAGAATAAGAAAAAAGGAAATGTCTAAAGTAAAGATTAAATACAGTCCTGCCTTTTGGAAAAACAATATTAAAATATTGAATTCCCTTTCCTTTCAATCTCCCTACAGTTAAACATTTGTCAGAGTTTGCTATAATCTACATTAAAAAACAAAATGCAACATAATTTTCCTTGCACACCTATTACTGAGGAGAGTTAAACCTTCCCCAAATAATGAATCATCTAGCTTCTGAAGTTTCTCAACCTGCACGTAGCACCAAGAATAAATAAATGAAACTTGCAATGAGTTTCAGTATTCAAATTACTAGGCATTATTAAACATAACAGGCGCATCACTTATAAGAAATTCCCAAATGAACATTTTTCTAACATATATAGTTTTATCAGTTCTTTTACATGGAGTATATACCATAGTGTTAAAAGAGTGGAATTCTCGGATGAAAAGTAGTTAGGATTAGTTAGGGTTAATAATTAGCTAGAGAGGACATCAACTCGATAAACAAGGGGGGATAAGGGTAAAAAGATTGATTTAGAGATATTAGAGAATTGAATGAAATGGAGACATTTTATTGAAGGAGAAACCTTTGCCAAAGAAGTCTTTCTTCTGTCCTAGATTATTTAAAAGTATTGTTTTTTTCTTTAGTCCCTATCAATTTTCTATTTCTCTTCCTTAGGTTTTTAACACACATTCACAAATGTTGTGGGTACAACAACAGCAGATTCTGAGAGCATGAACAACATTGAAAAGTAGGAAAATGTAACTAGAAACTTTTGTTGCCTTCTAAAGCCCAGATAAAATACCTTTGTAAAAAGAAAACTAAAACCATAAAAAATGCACCTTCTTTGAATAAAATTCCTTTCATTTAAAGTAAGATTTGCATTGGAATTAGGCAATGTGAATCATTTCAGCTAAAGAGAACATTGTGTCTAAAAAATTGATTGAGAATGAAAACATAGGGGAAAGGCCTGGTAATTATTAAAGAAAAAAATATTGTTTAAACATCACGCTACCCTATTTAATCATTGATCTTGCGACCTTGTTTAAAATTGGTCATACTGTACGGATTTATATATTCATTATGTAGTTAATTCTTGTCAGTACAACTGTGTCTATATAAGCTTGTAATGAAAACTGATAAGCATATATAACAAAAGAACTCTCGGATTAAATTAACTAAAGAGTTTGATTGCTATCCATCAGTTGTTCTTCATGTAAATATAGTAAATGAAAAGCATAAAGAACAGAGTACTCAAACAAGAATATGGAAGAGTACAAGAACTAGGAGTCAGTACCTTCCCAGTACGGAGAGCTACTTTGCGGACAGAGGACTGAAACAACAAATAGTTGAAATGTTAAGCAAATATTACACATCAGAAACAACATTAATTGTATGTCTGTGAAAACAAAAAATTAGAATGTAATTAGAAAATAAATCTAATCTTGAATAATAAAATTTTAGAATAGATAAAAGCTTAGAAAGTTGTGAGACTTGCAAGTCCACGTAGACACATGAAGAGTCCGTCGATTCGACTTGCAGACTCGTAAGAGTATATGTGTTGTGAGTCCCACATCGGATAATCTATGGCCTGAACATGTGTTTAGAATAGATAAAATTTTAGAATAGATAAAAGCTTAGAAAGTTGTGAGACTCGCAAGCCCACATAGACACATGAAGAGTCCATCGATTCGACTTGCAGACTCGTAAAAGTATATGTGTTAAGAGTCCCACATCGGTCAATCTATGGTCTGAAGATGTGTTTATAAGTGGGGGTAATCCTCACCCTACTAGCCGGTTTTGTAGGGTTGAGTTAAGCCCAACCCACACATCTTAAGATGGTATCAGAGCCTCGTTTAAGATCTATTGGACCACCCATCATTCAGTTCCACGCTCCAGACGTAAATCCTGGTGGTGAGAGGGGGTGTTAAGAGTCCCACATCGGACAATCTATGGCCTGAACATGTGTTTATGAGTGGGGGTAATCCTCACCCTACTAGCCAGTTTTGTAGGGTTGAGTTAGGCCCAACCCACACATCTTAAGAATAAGGAAAATAAAAAGTGGCTTTAAAATAACCATAAAATGGCACATATAATACAACACCAATTAACATAAAATCTCATTTCAAACTGTAAGAAAACAAAGGGATATTTTGAGACAGACAGAGGGAAAATGGTATAACAAAACAAATGAACATATTGCTTCCAAAACAGCAACAAAGCAACAAAATGAAGAGTCTATCTGCATTTAATCGAGTCTACCACGTAAATGAGCCTGAGTACATGTCAACTCATTTTGACCCCCTAAACTCAACTCAACAAGTTGATTCGTGAGTCTGACAACCATTGGTCTTATTTAATGGATAGCATAGAGGTCATATTCATATTTATGTAACTGATGTCAGCTTGAAATTTTCAAATTTAAGAATACACAAAATTTCCTATCTCACTCCAGCTGTAGAAAGGAAAAAGTAAGAAAAAAGGCAACACTAAGGAAAGAAACATTACCTTCTTATAAAGACCAGTTGACTCAAATAATGTATCATTTCCAGCATAAATAAGCCCCTGAAATCAAACATGCAAAGAGAAAACATTTTTCTCTTCAATGAGTGACAAACTAAGCAATAAAAATAAATAAATAAATAAATAAAAAGATTGTGTGACACTTATGCTAGGGAACCCAAGAAAGTTGCCTTGTCCGTTACTAAAATTTAGTGTTGTGTCTAAGTCATTCCTTATTGTCAATTTGTGTTAAAGACAACAGTTCCTTTTAAATCTAACTGAACACTCATTGGATTTACAAGTGTGCTCTAATGAACTTTGGATGAAATAAAACCCTATAAGGTTCCTTCTATTGGCTGCTTTTTGTAACACCTTTTAAGGTTTCTTCTATTTTATTATTATTAATTATCTTTTTATAACTGTTCCTGTTCTCGAGGAAATTTTGAAATTTGTCCTTTGAGATTACGAGACTAGACTCTTAACAATACTAAGTTGACACCTCATAGACGAAAAAATACATATAAGATACAACAAGATATCTAACTTGAAGTTCACCCTTTTTCATCAAATTTCCTACCTATCTTAGCTAAAATACCTAGCGAATAGCCATTTTCAATGAAATCACTCCCTAAACAAGCTGAGCTGCCTTAGATATAGAGATATTAGAGCAGATAGAGAGATGCCTAGCTAAACTGATTATAGTGAGGCCCCAAAATTCGTCGTTGGGAAATATTAGAGAAGACACATTAGTTTGTTAACGCATACTATGCTTAATGTGGCAGATCTATTTATTTCGTGCAGATTTAGTTTTAACATTAGTTAGTTCTAATCTAGGTTGTTAATAGCAGCCAATTGGGGTGGAGCGGAGACAGGCTGGAATCAAATTGCGGCTGCTCCAAAACAGATCACAGGTTGCGGCTGCAGAGCACTTCCCAGTCCAGAGCGGATTTCCGTCCGCTATTCTTTTTCACCCTTGAAAACCCAAAGTTAATACTTAATTAAATATTTTAGAGGTAATTTCGGGTTTTCTATGAAATTTGAGTTAATATAAACGTTAACCCTGGTCATTTTCATTCTCTGATGTGGGACTCTTAACACACCCCTTCACGCTCAGGATTGGACATATGGAGCGTGGAAATAGATAGTGGGTGGTCCGATAGCGGAAACCTGATAGCAGGTGGCCCACTGGATCTTAAACGAGGCTCTTGATACCATGTTAAGAAATGTGGTTGGGCCTAACTCAACCCTACAAAATTGGTTGGTAGAATAAGGATTTCCCCCACTTATAAACATCTGCTCATGCCATATATTGTACGATGTGGGACTCTTAACAAGTGATATTCCAAAAAAGAAAAAGAAACATTCAGTTCTTCCTCCATAAGCATTCCTCTGCTCTTCATTCTCCTTCAAGCTTAAGGCTTCATTCTTCTTCAGGCTTCAGGTTTCAACCTTCGTTCCACTTCAAGCTTCGTTCTTGTTTGCCATTGTTTTTCTCTCACATCATTCTTCAAGCTTCAAGCTATCTTCCATATGCTTCTTTATTTCCTTGACTTTTGTTGGTATTTGGGATTTTAATATTTTGACTAAGACTTGTAGATGATGATTGAGAGTTTTGATCAAGACTTGTGGGTTTTTGAGTGTTTTTTTATTAAGCCTTGTGTTTTGAATTATTTGTTTAATTTTACATTAAATATATACTTATAGTATTATTCATGTAATATGTAAAAAACGATCAAACAGTGGTCATCCCACTATCCCGCTTTTGGGATCGGCCGCTCCGCGTCGCTATCCGGGACTGACAAATTCTAAATTAACTTATCGAAACCAACTACACTTTTGTAAATAGATCGAGCACTTTTGTGATTCATTACATGAGAAACAGATTCAGTTTCAAACAACATTCTCGTTCTATCTCTCTAAATGCCTTGAACTTTCTTATGGTTTCTCCTCTGCTCAACTTGTAATTTAGTTCATAAGGATTCAAAAGCCCCACCTTAATCAAACAACAAATACTACCCATATTAGTCTTTCCCATAGACGCTTTTTTAAAAGTGAAGTAAAAAATGAAGGCACGGACTTCGCAATTAAGTCGGCACCCCTGCACTCACACCCAAACTAGGCAAATTTGGGGCTTATTCAAATAATCTAATATATGAAAATACATTACCAGACCCCATCAAGAAGGCGAAAAATACTAAGGACTAAGGTCATAGCTTGTTATATGCCCCTCACATGTTGGCAAACTGCTCGCTCGCTGCACCAGAGAAACGCATTTAGTTCAGAAGTTACTTCAATCACTGATCTCAGCCATTGATTGAAAATGGATGATTGTGATTGTAAATTCCTTATTTTCTGACATTACAGCGTGAGTCATATGATATATGTTGTCACTAGCAGCGGAATAGCATAGCGGTGGTAGGGTTTGGCACAACACTTTTGGCCTGTAAACCAAAGTTAGCAATAGCAGTTGTTGCGGCTGCTAATTGCTGCTCCAAAACACCATTGTGTTGACTATTAGGGTTTTGGAGATAAATTCCTAGAAGTCTTTTTTGGTTAAACGTTATCTTTTTATAAGGGTATACATTTCAATCTAGATCTTTATAAGGTTAATAATCCATTCTTCATTTTGTCATGTTCTTGCTCACAAACAACTGTTATGTTCTTCTTCCTACTTTTAGTTATGTTCTGTCATGTTATTCTTTCCTGTTGAAGTTTTACTATTCTATATTTTGGACTCTTGCACTATTACATATGACGATGGTCTCTTTAACTTTGTATATTTTTCTATATTTGATATTCATGTTGTTACTTTGTACACTGTTTTTTTTTTGTCTTTGCAATACAGCTATCCCGCTATCCGTTATAGCATTTTAGGGGTAGGTAAGAGCTACACTACATGAGATCATCAACATATGATCTCTATCTAATGTCTTAAATCCGTTGAATGCAGTGACTGCGAGATTCTCTGAATGTGGTGAATCCGGACGGGCCCATACATCAGTAAATTGAATCCTTTGGATTAAAATTGGACAGCTTAGTGCTCACATTCTCACTTCAATAATCTAATTCAACGAAAAACTTGTGAGCCGATTAAACTTCACTCAAAGATTATTTTGTGCTTACTACAACAATGAACACAAATACATAATTTAATGAATGCAGTACTCGCCACGTGGAGCTTGTATAGAACCATAGCTCAGTAGCATTTCAGATCTTGAACAATTCGTCGTCAATAATAGAAACAAACTTAAGCATTGCATCTAAATTGTTAACCAACTCTCACATACCTCTGTCACAAAAATTAAATACATAAAACTAGTCTATGTTTGGTTCCACCCCCACAATCTTGTTTGTGTTGGTTAGGTTTGAACTTTGAACGCAAACTAACTATGTTCGACTCCGGGCCCTAATATTGGTTCTAGATCCAACCTCAATTCTATCTAAAAGCTTAGATTTCTAGCTTTTTTCAGTGACAAAAAATATTAAAATCAATTATCAAATTTATTAAAAGTGACATATGCATATACACTGTCAAAACTCAAAAATAATTATGATCCATAAAATCAAACATGGGCAGATAAAATCGTTTTTATAATGTGTCCAAATGTAACTCAATTTACAGTTAAACACTTTTTGACAAAAAGCAATTTTACAAAATCAATTTCCATAACACACCGAAAACAATTAATCAATCCCAATCCAAATTAAACAGTAACAGAAGAAACTGATCTTCAACTCCATCGAAAATAATAACTCGAACCATTAAAATAAGTCAAATAATGAACAACAATAAAAGTAAAAGAATAAAAACGAACAAAAATAGGAAATAAAAAAGTTGACCTGAGTGAAGGCTTGAGGATCGTGAGGGAAGTCATTGACAACAGAGATCGTCTCATATGAAACCACTTGTTGGAACGCACGCCAAGTGTTCGACGAAACGAGCAAGAGACAGATGACTGAAATGATGAGTAAAACGGCAAGAATAGCGGAAACGGTGGCAAGAGTGCGAGGCTTGCGCCGTCGTGAAGGAGTTGGAAGAGTTGCCATGGAAGGGTTTTTCTTTTGTCGTGGTTCACGATGCTTATTCTTTATAGATCTGGTGGCTGCCATTGTTCTTCATGTGAGAGAAGTGAATAAAACGAGGGAAATCGGAGGCGCAGAATTGCACGTCGAAGCTGCAATTTGTCTCTTTTTGCTGTTAACAGTAGTATGGGTGTTTTGGAGAATTACAAACCAAACCAAATTATATATTGGTTTATAAATTAATCCATATATAATTTGGTTTCTTTAAAACCACTTTAGTTTTTTAAATCCGGTTTACAAGTAGATCGATTCAATTTTAAACCGATTTTTTTTTTAGTTTAATTTTTTAAAAACCAGTTGTTCTGGACGGGATCAGAGCTGGTCCACCGTTGGGCACAGTCCAACCCAACTTCTTGTCGGGAAGGGTCCAATGAAGGTCCAATCCTTCAACGTTCATAGGAAGCTCTCACATGTCTCTTCCACGGTCTCCACGTGTCTCTCACGCAGAGATACGTCATCAGGAAACTACCCACATCTCGAAGATCATCGGGCAGTTGACTCATGGCGAATACCACATGCTGGTCTTCCCTACGCCACGTAAGCCCTGACAGTTACTCGTATTGAGTCTTGCAATCCAGTCTAGTGCATAAGTAATCATTGGTCAAGCGTTGGGGGCACAATATAAATACCCTCTTTCACTAGAGGGTCAGGTATTCAATTCTCTACATACTTTATATTTACTTGTTTTTTCTACTCTGTCTTACTTTGTCATCGGAGTACCTTGCAAGTACACCCCCTTCTCTACTCCACCACCGGCGAATTAAGGAGCTCACGACGTGTTGCTAGTTGCTGATCCTTTTTTGATCCAGTAAGATCAGTGGCACCGTCTGTGGGGAACTTGCTTCCCCATTCTTCCTGCTGAAAGAAATTCAAGAACCAAAGCATACCTCAACCTCTGTTGATCATTGTCAGCCCACGCAATGATGACAACATCCATGAAACCACTTTCACCCCATTCACCAATGGTGGCGATCACGATCTCAACATGATCGTTCACGTCGAGGAAGGCGACGCCAGGGACAGGCACACCGCCTCACCCTCCCCAAACGATGCGACCTACAACGCCACCTGACGCTTTGACAGCTCAGTTGTCTTCCAACCAATTCATGCGCCGCCCAACGTCAACCCGACCATGGTGGCTCTGTTCGCGGCAATCAATCAAACAAACCTGGTTATTTTCCAATAGAATGAGCAGATCGGAATGTTGGAGAAGGACCGACAATCACGCTCTCCCCCGCGGAGACACCGTCGCCCAGTTTCTCGCAGCCCATCTACACGACGATGAGAAACCTCTATTTCACCTCCTTCGCGGAGGCCGCAACATGATGTGTCTCAGAGTCCCTCTCCGTGACAAGTCGAGCATCACCCGCAACAGAAAAGGCTACAGCTTGTGGCCGCCTAGAAGCGCGACTGTTCTCCTTCCCAGAAGGAGCGAAGTTCTCCAGCTCCTAAGAGAAAAAAAATCTGACAGGCAGGTTGGGAAGCTAAAGAGCCGCCCGAGAAGCTCTCCACGCCACAGGAGCCCTCAGTACGAGTCGTCCCCCTTGCAATCGCCCGTCAGAAGCGACGAGGTTGACCCCCGCACTCTATTGTCCAGAACTATCAAGGAAACTCCCCTCCCATTCGGGATGGAGAAACCCCTGATCCTGGATAACTACGATGGTACCGCCGATACGGATGACCGCATTGAAAGCATCGATGTGATGCTCGACTACAGGAACGTCTGGGGAATCATCAAGTGCAGACTTTTTCCCACGACCTTAAGGAAATAAGCGATGACATGGTATAAAAGCCTTGAGCCCGAGTCCATCACCTCCTGGAGAGAGCTGAAGAGGCATTTCTCCAGGAACTTCACCGCCTCCCAGTGACACTCGAAGACGAAAGCATCCCTGGAAGCCATCATCCAGGGGAGGAAGGAATCTCTCAGGGACTATATAGAGAGATTCAGCCGAGAAGCTGTGCGAGTGTCTACCTCGGACAACATGAAGAAGTATCTGCTCGAACGAGGATTGCGACCTCGCGCTGAGTTTGCCAAGGCCGTCGGAATCGAAAGGTCTAACACGCTAGACACCCTCCTTCACAGGGACCAATCATACATCCAGTATGAGTAAAAAGAGGTCGCCCACTGCGCCCGCGACTCGCGGAACCAAGAGAGCACCAGAAATTTCAAGCACGAAGGCTCCACCGCACTCCGACGAGGCGGCGAGAGAAGGAGAGAAGATAGGCCTCGAGACTCCCGAGAACAGAGGGGACCGACTGGCCGGTTCACCGAGTACACGCTACTCACAGCTCCCCGCAAGCGCATTCTGGCCAAGTGCATAAACTCGGAGTTCCAACAAGATGGTGTCCGGTTCCCGAAGCCAACGCCCCCTAAGCCCAATGTCGATAAGTCCAAGTACTGTCGGTTCAACCGGAGTCATCGACACGTCACGGAAGATTGCGTCCACCTCAAAGATGCAATCGAAATCCTAATCAAGGAGGGGCATCTGAAGCAGTACATCAGAAGGAACGGGGACCCTCAACATGAAACTCGTGAGGCGAAAAGGGTCGATGAGGTGCCACCTCCCTCCGAAGAGACTGGGCTGCAAGTCGCCTTGTGCATCTCCCGACCAGAAGACGTTTGCCTCTCCTTCAAAGCCGACATGATGTTATCCGCTTGCAGCCCGTGGGAGAACTTTCTAGCCGCGATGGTCATATCCAGCAGGGGTCCTAGCAAGCTCTAAGTAGGCTCGGTCAATAGGAAGTTTGAGGAGATGATCGACAAGAGTTTGAAGCAAAACGCCACCCTCGAGAAGTTCAAGAGGAACTCGAACCTAATCACCTTCTACCTCGAGGAGCTGTCGGGCGGCACCCCCAACTCCAGCATCCCCATACTGATCAGGGCTCAGATGGATAACTTTGGCATCCGCCACATTCTCGTCGACCAAGAAAGCTTGGTGGGCATCATCTACACCCACCTCTTCACCACCCTCTAGCTTGACGAGAGCCATTTGACGTCGTATGTCGGCTCTGACCTGCTATTAGCTCTCATTTTCGACGCCAGCAAAATCAGAAGTATCTCAAGTTAGAATGTGATTTTAAAACATAAGAAGGCTTCGATCCAGCTTTGGTGAAGCCTGAGTTGAAATGAGGTTGGGAAAGTTTCTAGGAAAATGCTAAGTGTTGGAAAGGCCTTCGACCAAGATCATGCCGGAAGAAATGCGTGGCAGTTACCATTAAAGCTGGAGGGAATTCCTAATATTTGAGTTTCGAATTGGTAGTGGGCGAACGTGGGGACGGTTGAAGTTGAGGAAAAAAACGCTGAAAGACACGTTTGAAGTTATAACCATCACTTAGTAGTTATTTGCTAGCATTATAAATAGGAGTTATTTTTATAGAATAAGGGTGGTCATTCGTCTTGTACAAGTCACTCCAAATCACTCAAAGTACCCGCGTGTAGAGAAACGAGTTAGCGAGAATGTACGTGATACAACACCATCCCCTTTCATTAATGCAATTTACATATCTTTACCATTTATATGCTTTTATTAATTATGCATTCTCCTTCGCATGTTATCCTTTAATCTTCATCTTTTATGTTTAACTGCTTTTCCATGCCATTCCTGCAACTTTATTTTCATTTACACTTCACGCTATTTAACGTTATGCACTTTACCTTAACCTGCAATTTAACCTTCTACACTTTCCTTCGAACTTGTCATTTTCAAAGTCTTTTAATTGCTTTCGACATTTACTTTTCTGCACATTTACATTATTGTCTTTAATTTCAAAGTCAGTTACATTATTGCACTTTTTTACATTACTACTTTTAAATTCAAAGTTATTTACATTGTTGCCTTTACTTTTAAAGTCATTTACATTGTTGCCTTTAATTTCAAAGTCATTTACATTACTGTCTTTATTTTCAAAGTCTTTTACGTTCTTGCCTTTATTTTCAAAGTCTTTTACAGCCTTGCCTTTAACTTTTGACGCATTAAGAATTACGTTCTTTATTTCACAGCCTTGTTAATTTCCAAGTTATTTCTGCTTTACAAAACTTTCATAGTCGAACGTGGAGTTCAAATTAGAATTTTATTGCAAACTTAGCACATGTCATAGAATTTAGTATGGTCGGTCCTGCATGCTACTCAATTTTACCCTAGATTGATAGACCAGCGGTTGTTTACCAAATTTCACAGTAAACAAATTGACACACCTGGTGGGACCCAGTGCTAAGTATTCCAACGTTTACATTAATCATATTCATCTTTTGGTGCAATACTTTGTTGTATGTTATTAAGAAGTGGGAAGTTAGCCACAACACACGAAAGAGTACCAAAGGGAAGATATACTAAGAGAATGGCAACAAATGCTAGTCAACAAGTTGAACCGCAAGGAAGTGTTTTAAATACTCAGTCAAGTAGCATGGGGTCTCAAAGTACTCCGTCTCCAGTTTCTTCGACGGGAGGACAGACGTCACCGCCAGCAATTGTGTCTAAACAGATGCAGCCAATGGTCAGTCCAGGATCAACATGTGTAAGAACGTACACTCAACCTGTGTTGGAATATGTAGGACCACAAAGTCCTAATGTACCAACACCCCCAGGAGGAAGTACAGTATATAGGCAGTTCCCTCCTCCGGGCTTCTCACAGTCATTACCAAGGAACCCATCTTATGGTATGCCTACATCAATGATGCAAAATCTATAGAATGCTCCACCCATATTTTCAGAAAATGTAGTGTCTTCGCCAGCGCCAGGATCTGGAGCAGGAGATCGAAACAACCAAAGCATAGGTGTTGGTTACTCTGTGCAAGCACCCAGTCTTACAAATACTTCCATAAACTGTTTGAGACAACAAATGGATGAAAGTAATATGCAAATGATACACACATTGTCTCAGACAATGGGAGAAGTTTTCCAGCCCTTAATTCATAATACTACCCAAACCAACCAGCAATTGGCGACACAATTAGCACGTATGGCTGATTTTATGGGAGTACCAGCATTGATCAGAGAGCAACAGTGGTTGAAAATATCCCACGATAT